ACCCACAATCAAGAAGAAGGTTTCGAGCAATCAAATTGAAGATTTAAAGATCAAGATTTAATATTCAATGTTCAAGTCAGAAATCAATGGATCAAGGTATGCTCCGCGTTAATTTAGTTTCTTAATGGTTTGACATGAAGATCTTGGCAAGTTTATAAATTTAAGTTTCATTTCAACATACATATCATGGGAGAAGAAAAATACTAGAAAGAATTAAAAGTACATCATAGGTTTTAAGGAAAAAATGAAAAAGATGAAAATATTAAACCAGGAATCAACGTTCTTTTCGTAAAAACCCTGAAATTTTAACTTTTTGATTGATTTCTTGATTTTTCCTTTCCTTTTGGGGTCTCTTTTTCAGTGATTAATATGAATTTGTATCCCAATAAGCTCTCTTTTTGTGACCTAAACAGTGTTTATTTATAAGTGAGGAAGAATTTTGGGAGTAGTGACTCGTCAAGGAGTCCAGACAAATCAAGAGAACTCAAAAATTCATAAAAACAACAAAAATCAGCAACACGCCAGACTGGTCACAAACCGGTGACCGCGGTAAACAATGGGTAGTCCAGACCGTGGTTGACTGTCTCCTTGACCTTTCCAAAAAGTTGCTTGTTGGTTCCCAAAGTATCCAATTTTGGTCATTTCTCGTTCTAATCTTCAATTTTAATGCTGTAACTTCCAAGTTCTTCCAGATTGGTTCACAAAACTTCATTAGCATTTCAAATTGATCATTTTTGACTTTTGAAAGTTTGCCATCCCCAATTTTTCAAATGTTGAATTTCACCCCCCGAAACTTGCAATTTTCTTCTGATTGCTTCTTAATACCTCTTATCACTCTCACGCAATTCGATTAATCTTTAATTTTTTCGAACCAATTTCAAAATAGCTAAAAATCACCTATTTTACCCCAATTTCATTCATGTGCATCCAAATTGGATTTTTACCTACAATTAACATAATTCGGTCTAAAATTAAGTAGATATCAGCGCAATTTAGTTATAAACAAGTAAGAATAAAAGCTCGAATAAGTACAGAATGCATTTATCAGCTATCTTTAAGTATAAATTCTTGTTCGTCCTGGGTAAGACTATAAACGCACAAGCAAACAAAAAAGTATAAAAGTATTAGATAACTTCATTGATCTTGCATCAAAAATTTAAATCGTTTGACAATTCATAAAAAAGTTCTTAAGAATTGCAAATAAAACGACCTTTTTACTTATTCAATGCTTGATCATTGTGCATGCGCGAATAGTCAATATAATCATCGTGAGCTTTTAAGTTGATTATTTTCTTACTCACTCGTGAGATGAATACCTCCAAACTTTTTTAAAAATCACATAAACAAGCGGTTTATTATAATGTTGATTTCACAATACTATCCTTTCCTGCTCAAGTTTAGGTTGATTTTGACAAAAGAAAGTTATTATCTCGATATCTATTGATTCTTCTTAAATTTGAATATCCCAAACTCCAAGATTTAACTAAGACAATAATCCTCATTAGAAGTCTAAAATCCTAAATTGAGTATCCTTTTAGTCGGACAGAAGCAATGCTTGTAATTATTTTGCTATTATATCAATACATTTTGATGCATTTTTCTTTTCTTTTGTTTTTCACCATGTTCCATTTTTCTATTTTTGGAATCTTTTCTTAGACTAGCTAATGAATTTTTCACACTACATTGCTTCTTCATCGGTAGATCATCTCTTAAACATTGGTGATGAATAGAATTGGATTACTTAAGGCTCGTTTGACACGACAATATAAGTAATTTTTTCTTACACGTCACGACTAGTGAATTGCCTTATTTTTTTTTGGATAAGTAATTGGAATCAAAACCCTATTGTACGGTTACTGTCTAGGTTCTACATGTTATACAAAAACACTCAACATAAATATGCAACTAGCACGAAATCAACACTGGTCTAAATAGCTTCCAACACCGTATCAATCATCCCCAAACTAGTCATTTCAATTGGTCAAATGATTGTATTTTCTATTTATAATCTTGATTTATAAAGACTCAACTTTATTTAACATATTCTATTACCAATAACCAATTCAAAAATTCAGATTGTCATGATTATTATGTTGAAACTATTTAATACAATCATGCTAAGAATTTTTTTTCCTTCATTAGAATTTTTTTCACATGATTTTTTCTAATGAGGTTGTAACGATGCATTTCTTTGTATAATGAATATTCATAACGTATAAGACAGTTACTCTCAAAATAATACTCTTATATGTAAGAGACTCTTTAAGAGATCAACAGAGCTATTATTCAAATCACCATATTACTATAGTTATCAAATGTTGATAAATATCTCATATGAAAATGGTTTTATTTGAAGACTATACAAGATACTAAGAGACATATATCATTAAAAATTACAATATTGAAGATATTGATGTACAAAACAAAGATGAATTGATACAAAAATTGAAATTAGGGAGATTAGTTGTACTCTTTTTCCTTTGATCAAGTTTTGTCCCTCTGTCTTTTCTTGATAAGATTTTAACGATGTAGATATTTTGTAATGTGTCATTCAACGGAGAATATTATAAATAATATGATTATTAGTGAATGATAATTATATCTTTGCTGCCTGAGTTTTTATTACCATTGTATCCCTAATTTTTTCTTATAAATATGGAGTTTAGGTCTCAATATAATATACAAGTCTATTGATTTCTCTTATTCTTCTCGCTATCTCTCTAGTTCATAATGAAGTGAAATATTTGTGTCTCTAACCGTTAGTAGTTTTTTTTTTTTTTGGGAATTTTCATGTAAATTATAATATTATTTTTTTCCATCTATTTTATTTTTTGGCTTCTTCATGTGGAACAATTAAGAAATCGATCTAAATTCCCAACATTTATACAAACGAACGTATGTCGAAATTCAATCTAAATTCTCCTTGGAATTTTCTAATAAAACAAACAATTAACAAATAAAAATTCTTGTAAATTTTTCAGAAAACAGTTCTTTTTTTTTATTGGATACATGAGTCATTTATTGAGTTTGATTATCTTTATTTTTATTTATGTCTAGCGTTCGAGCATATTATAATACATCTTCACTTGCAGATTAGTCAAGATTTTTCACAATTACAACCGAAACTCTTATTTTCATATTTCTTACTCTCTTAATTTCAAGCCCACGTCTTCTAAAACGATAAGTTTTTACTAACTTCTGTATTTTAGATGATAAGTGACATGAACAACTAAACCAAAAGCGATCGTATTTTACTCACAAGGCCTAAATAGAAATTATCGAAGAAAAATAATTGAAAAAAAAAAAAGAAGGAATAAAGTAATTATCTAGACTAGACCCTTTTTGGTCATCCAATGCTTTTAGCCGACCAAACTACATAATTAATTAAGGGATAATATTAAAAAAAAAATTAGAGAAAAAAATATTCATACAAAACCGAAGTCCACTATCTCCCGCATTACCTACTAAATATTTTAACACAATTAGCAGCTCATTAAGGGCCTAATTTAATTATATTTTAATTGTAATTAGCAAAGCATCTTAGACAAAATGATGATTAATTTTTAAAAAAAAAAAAGTGGATAAAACTTAATAATTATATTTTTTATGTCCTATCTTTTGTCTTAAAAAAAATAATAATTTGTTGCTATGATTTGGCCACAAATTGAATATAATTATAGAATTAGTTAGAATATTTTCAATGACAATGCAAACAAAAGTATTTGTGTCACCATCTGCTTGTATTTGGGCGGTGCTATGTAGAGAAATTATATTCAATTTTTAAGTCGATTTTCTTCTTAGTTCGTATCGATATTAAATAAATTTAATGTAATAAACCAATTTGAAGAATATTTATACCCTTTCAATGCTAAAATTCGAAATATGAAATTCGGCATATTACCAATAATTATTGACTTGAGCCTATTAGTATTACTTTTAATTAGTACACGTAAAAGAAGGTCCTTAAAGAATTGAGATAGTTGAAAAAAGCATTTTCATTATTTATTTTTCTTGATGTTCAATTATACTCGAAAGATTTTAGGTTTTATTTCTATCTTGTTGGGGAACAAAAGTGGAAATTAATTTTTAAATTTTTGAAAAAAAATCTAAAATCCAAACCCACATGAAAATTTATAAAAAACATATTAACCTGATTTTTTTTTTAAAAGTACAAATTTTGGGCATTTATAAATAATGTTTTACACAAAAGTGATTTTTATCTTATAAGTAATTTTTTACTTATAAGTAAATTTTTAATTGTAAAGTAATTTTTTACTTATAAATAATTTTTTAATTAGGTATGTTTTTTAAAAGTTAATTTTAAATGAAATATGTTGGTTGTAAATAATTATTTTATAAATGATAAACTTAGAAGTGAAAATAAGAAACGGTCAAGACCCATCACTGTGATGGGTTGAGAGAAACAATCAAAATTACATTACATCGATTTTGGGTGGTTTGTAAACCAACAAAAATTGATGTAAAAAAAATTAGCAAGCATCAATTTTCTTAATTCCTCGTAAACGGTGCCACCAAAAAATTGGCCAAAATGGGTTAAAAAATATTCTCAAGTAGGCAATAAAAGAAAGGAAATATACAAATTAATTAATGGAACAACCAATGAAAGGTATTAAAAAGACAAAATTTAAACAAATACTTGTCAAAACCATAAAAATGGTCGGTTAATCAAATATTTATTATTTATGAACAATTATTTGTTGGCCCAATTCTCAATTTTCGAGCTTACATTACACGGGCCTCATTCGTAATTCAACGTGGTAACCTCGTATAAGGCATTTGCATTAGTCCACTATAAATAGCTGCCACCAAATAAGATTAGCATAGGAAGCAAAACTAAGAAACTAAGCACAAAATAGGTATTTTCTTGAGCTCTTAGAGAGAAGGAAAAATATAAAAATTCCAAAAGAAAATGCCTTTATCAAGAATTTCGGTCGGAAGTCCGGCGGAGGCCAGCCAACCGGATGCCCTCAAAGCCGCCTTAGCCGAATTCATTTCAATGCTCATTTTCGTATTTGCCGGAGAAGGCTCTGGCATGGCTTTTGGTAAGTACTTATGCCCTCGTATAAGTTTTAAACACTTGCCCGTTATTCTATTCAATCTCATATATATATATATATATATATTATCAATTTTTCTACAGCCAAGCTTACGGATGGCGGATCGACCACGCCGGCCGGCCTTATTGCTGCTGCTATAGCCCATGCTTTCGCACTTTTTGTGGCTGTCTCGGTTGCTGCCAACATTTCCGGGGGTCATGTAAACCCTGCAGTCACCTTTGGGCTCTTTGTTGGTGGTCACATATCATTGTTCAAAACCATTGTGTATTGGATAGCCCAATTGCTTGGATCTGTTGTTGCATGCTTGCTCCTAAAGTTCTCCACTGGTGGGCTGGTAAGTAATCAAACATTTTAAGATAACTTGCTTTTTTCTTAATTTTAAGTAAAAGAATTACTTATTACATGTACATAAGAATTATATGGATGAATTGACAGATAGCCAGGTGACAAGCATTCATAGAATGTTGAACCAAAAATAACTTTAGACCAGTCAATGTAGTGACTACATCTGTACATCAGTCATCCCTTCTGTCAAAAGCTTTTGTATAAGAAGCTTTATTCTTACTTATTTAAAAGTAACTCTCTCCTTACTTTAAGCATGAGTAACTTGCATGTTTCAACTTCCAACAAAAAAAATGTTTATTACAAAACTTACTTATTTACATGCTCTTAGTGTGTGACTTGAGCTCAATTTTTTTGTCTTGTTACATCGAGCAGGAAACCTCTGCATTTTCACTTTCATCCGGGGTATCATCGTGGGATGCCCTTGTTTTCGAAATAGTGATGACATTTGGCCTGGTTTACACAGTGTATGCCACAGCAGTGGATCCAAAGAGGGGTGATATAGGTACCATAGCCCCAATTGCCATTGGCTTCATTGTGGGTGCCAACATTTTGGCTGGCGGTGCCTTCGACGGTGCATCCATGAACCCAGCCGTGTCGTTCGGCCCGGCAGTTGTTAGCTGGACATGGGACAGTCATTGGGTGTACTGGCTTGGCCCATTTGTTGGTGCTGGAATTGCTGCTCTTGTCTATGAAATCGTCTTCATTAACCAGTCCACTCATGAACAACTCCCCACCAGTGAGTACTAAGTTTAAACTAAGAAAATCTGTCCTTGGAATCCAGTTTGCTGTATTTGTGTCATCAGTCTGTTTTTTTTAAGGGAATCAGTTGTTGTCTATGTTCAAGTGTCAAAGTTGTCAACTTGCATGTTTTTAAACTCTTCGACCATAGAATTTGGAAAAGATCAACTGAGTGTTCAATCCACACCGAACTCGAGATCTTATATATGAACACGAGTCTACTTTCATCTTTGAAAAGTAAAATAGTATCGAAGACAGTTTAAAATTGTACAATATCGACGATATACACAACAATATGACATTCATTATATATGTCAGCTAGCAATTGATTCATCAAGTTCTCGAGTGAATTGGTCTAGTGACAGTACATGAAAAATTCTATATATATATGGTTAGGAAACTTTAATTGGCTCATTAAATTTTAATTTGTCTCGATTAGTTTACTAAACTTTAATTTAAATTCAATTTTCACTTCTTCATGGCTCAATGTCTCTCAAATTAATGAAAATTACTTAATTGAAGATCATGCTACAATGGATGCCTACAAAATCGTTGTGCGATATATCAACTACCACTACACTACATCATATTATTTTACCATTTTCGTTTCTATGTTGTCATGTAACAATTATTTGTATGTTTAATTATGATATGATTGTCAACTAAACAATTTATTTCGATTCAGGGAGTGATAGGTGACAGAATGAGATAGAGTCCTAAAATTTGAATTAAAGTGAAATTCAATAACTCAATTGAGACATTAAAATTCAGTGAGCTAATTGAGATTCCATTGAAAATGTATTGTAGTAAAACCAAGTGTTCAAAAGCATCAGCCCATTTGGGATATAACACGTTGGAGAGACGTCAACTATTACCTCACATTAGACATGTAAAATGGTCGGACATTGCCCATGTACTTGACTTGTAACACATTACGAATATTCTCGTGTTTAAGTTTTAACCCATGTCAAACTTGGTCGAAAGTGAGAGAGAAAATGAAAATGAAATAAAATAGTGTTACAATTGAAAGACTACCAAGATTTTGTTCATTAGCTAATTATAATACTACTTCTGTCAATTTCCTTTTTCTGAAGGGCTGTGGTCTTTTGGGCTGCAAAGCTCATGTAGCCCGGTCTAGCCTTTCAGGCCCATTTATGGCCCACATGGACTGCCCCAATCATACCGCTCACACATTTGACTAATTGTGATCAAGTGTGTATTCAATGTGACTGACTGTGACCAAATTTGTGTTGAGTGTGACTGTCT